AACTTTAAATGAAATGGTTATTTACAGAGTGATCCTCTGTCTCTACCCTTACCAAATAGTATGTGGAGTTAAAAGTCTTAATAAAGCCAGCAAATAAAAAAAAATGTACATTTATGACTATTTGGAACTACAATTTGTTATAAACAAACTAATGCCATCTGTGTTATGATTTGTTTAAAAACTAAAAATAACATTCAAAAATTTGCACACAATGCTCAATCAAAAGAATAACTTGTCAAAATACGGTACCTTTCCTGTTAAAAGGAGAACCCTTGTCTCTTCCGAAATGTAATTCCTGTCATTGCAGAAATCCTACATTAAAAAAAAAAAAAAATCAATTTGTATTTGTTGTCTCAATCTTACTATTGTTTTTAAACATACCTGAATGATTTCTCAACTCAGATGCTACTATCAAGTGCCACAAGAGCTTTCAGACTGTAAAATCTTCTACTGATAAATGAATCTTAAGCTAATAAAGATAATTCAAACTAGCATTTCAAAAGAGATTTGTACTGAGCATTATTGAATGGCAGTATGACATACTTGAATTTGGGATTCTTATTTTTTCTTTTTGAATTACATAAGTTATTTAAAATGAAGTAAAATTGACCTCCCTATTGTGTCACTTGCATCTTTCTATTGGAAGTCCAAAGAGAAGAAAATAGGTGTTGTTTTCTCTAAACAAACTGTAAGTTCCTAGTTGCTTTGACTACAGAAGATACAGACCAAAACATTAAATCAGGATGCAAATAGCCTTTACAGGTACCAGTTCCCTGTCTCCACTGCATCTGCCATTTCATAATTAAATAAGAAACTATATTTTGCATGCACAAATAGACACTGGAAGGGCTGTTAACTAACTGTCTAAGATAGTAAATACATGAAATATATTCTTTAGTACAACCAAAACAGCAGGGCTAGTCTGGACAGCTAATTTGATTCCACTGTAAAAGCGTGTCCCGTAAATAACAGTAGCGCAATTGATGACAGTAGAGTTGTACTCACCAAGGCTAAGTAATAAGAGGACTGACTTGTATGCTGAACAAAGTAGCCAAACAGTAATCCACATATATAAACATATGAAGCATAATATCAAAAAAAAATTTCCTTTTTGTCTGCTTTGCATTATAATTCATCTATACTTTCACAGCTGCACTTGTAAGATGCTCTGGGGAAATGATCTAGCAATATCAGTTAAAATATTGATATTTATGCTAATTAGCTCTCACCTCGTTACAAATATTTCTGGTACATGCTCATGAGAGAGATAGATGGCATAGGATACAGCTGATGCTAAAAAACTATATTCCTGAGGATAAAATGTATGCATATTCCCACTCATCATTTGATGTTACGAGATAATCAACTCTCAATTATAAATATCAAAGTATATCCTCTTAGTATTTTTGGAAACTGAATTAATAAATGTACCTTTTCAGGTTGTGTAAAAAATTTGGTAGGCAACACAGGGTCCTTCGGTGAATCTGCATTGCACAAAGCACTTTTGCTGTTGATTACACACAGTGCTACATCACATACTGTATAAAGTTTCTGGGGGAAAAAAAAGGAAAGTGAATAGGAATTACTTGTTGTTTTTATAGGTGTTCAGATACTGTACTCTAAAAAGTATCATCTGTGTGCAAAAATAACCACCACTGAGGATCATTAACCATACTGCTGGCTCTTCAAACACTTACAGAAGTCCCCATTGTTCACACCATACCATTTAGTAAGAACTAAAAAATATTTTACGTGCTTATGCTGCATTCAAGTTTCTCACCTTTACTAGAATCTAACAGGCTTAACGGTACATCATACTTTACAGTATTTCCCTCAACAGCAGAAACTTCTTGTGTCGGGAAATTAGACAGCTGAAGTTACAATGAGGCAGTCAAACAGTGAGCAACAGAACTATTTAACAAATTTTGTTTATTTAACTGTTAAGTACTTTGTGCCGGTTAAGGTCAGCAAGTTTCTGAAAGAATGAGATTGGTAACAGACAGACAATGCTTGCAATTAACACTGTCTCTAAAAGACAATAAAAACATCTGAGCTGGTGCTTTCAAGATTCCTGCAAATCCTGTTCAGCGACTGCTTGTGAAACCCTTACCCCGTCACCCTTATCTGAATCCCATTTCTTACTTCATTGGCCTTTGGCTCATCAGGAGACTGAGCATCTCGGGTAAGCTTGATGTTTTCTGCCATCTTTTTCATGAAGGCATGGCTATTGTTCTCATTCTTTGTCATTAAAACTTCAAGCATGAACCACAAGCACCTAAGAAGCCATAAAACCATGCACAGTTACATTCCAGCTTTTATAATGTGGTTCCCACATACAGCAGTATGTTAAAAACTTCTGTCAGTTGTACTATCTTTTTCTTAAACCACAGTCAATTCGAAGATACTAGGAAAAAATCCCATCATCCAAAGATGTAAGTACAGCCTAAACCTTTGATACAAATGGAATCTCCACTGTACTCTTTAGAATAAATCCGCCAAATCAGTGTGCTTCTCTATTAGGTCTGGAGACACTGCCCAACCTATCAATATTTTTCTCTTCCAAAAAATTCTGGTGCTGCCACGTACTAGATGAAACGGTGTAATCACTTCCTTGGGTTATACCTACGTTACAGTCAACAATGTACTGTGGCCACACTCAAAAAACAGGCTTAAACAAATTATACTGCCCCTAGACTGCTACCCTCAGACAGTGGTTTAATGCTGTAACTCATGTACTGGAGGATCCAAAAGCGAACAGGATCAATCTTACTAATGGCTCATACAAGAGGAAAAGGAGTCCTTACAGTTAGATATAATGGAATTAGCTTTTCCAGTTTTCTTTCTTTACGTCTAGTTTATTTACAGGGACAATACATTATATTTTGACTAAAAAATTGTTTTAAGACTTTTTCAATTATAGTATAAAATACAATTTGCTCCACGCTATCATTTGTTATTAAGCTTCAGAACTGCAAGCGTGTAGAGGGTCAACAACAGTCGTAATATGATAAAATACTTCTTAGCTGGGGCAGATACTTGGGTGGGTCTGTGAAAAGTAAACTTTGCCAGTACCTAATTTAATTCTGAAGCTCCAGAAGAGAGAATACGTGCAGAAAGCCTAATACAGAACTAGAAAAACAGGATGACTGAATATTAGATTTCTTTGTCCACAAAACCCCCAATCTTTCCAACTGATACAAACTGAAGAGTGTAACATCAGGGACGAGGGGATATTTCTTTCAAAAGTTCAAAGTAGAAGAAGGGTGTGCTTCATCAAAACATTTGGATAGTTATTTGATGTTCAATTAAAATAAGATGTCTGAATTTTGACTTGCATCCAAGAGCTACAAAAGCTAAGTAAATATATGTATTCTGTACCTTTACATCCCTCTATCCACTATTCTCAAAAAGTTAAATAGGACAAACGCAGGACCTTTAGCATACCGCACTGACCAGTTTCTGCAAAGCTCTGTGCTGTCTATTGAAGATTTAAAAAAAGGTAGCAAACTATTTAGGACATGTTTTACTCTGGTAATTCCAGGCAACACATGTCAAATTTAATAGCTGCATCTCCACACTAAGTCAACAAATCATTATCATCCCTGAACAAGAGCTTTCTAGAACCACAGTTGGATTTCATGTACGTAAACATGCACCTAGAAGAACACAAACACATAACAATAAATTCATTCCCTGTATGCATTTCAATATTCTTAGGAATATGAGTTCAGAAGGAAAAGACATTGTCTCAAGATTAAAACAAACAAACAAAACCCAAACCACAAGCTTAAAAGATCTCATAAGAATAAATATCACAGATTATGGTTGCTAAGCACTTATTTACATTATGCCATTGTATCTAGGCCACACAAAACCAGGATGAACTGGGGAGATACAGCTACAAAACACACTGCCAGTCTGCTTCTCCAAGGTTGCAAATATCTATGTTAACACTTTAAAGTGAACAACATGACTCTCAGAATTCTTGAAAGAAACTTTCTGTAACGTTATAAGAGAAAAACGTTTTGCATTTATCTCAGGAGACTCTTCAGAGATGTATTCCTGCCAAAATTCCTGTCTAGGGTATTTCTTTCTTTGGAGCAGTCCTCTCCGACCAGTTCAGCCAGCCTGTGATGATCTTGAGGGAAGAAACCTGACAACCAAGGAGAGCGATGCAAAGGGCACCCCAAAAAGCACACTTCAGAGAAAGTTTTAACAACTGACAGTCAGAACCTGTCACTGTTTTCTCCACCCATTCTGGATAAAACAGTAAAGTACACATTGGAGCACTTTGGGATGTTGCCAGGTACGCAGAGTCCTGGGACAAAAAGCAGACGTGGTGCTTGGGCAATAAATCTTTTTTGCTTCCAGGTTCTGAACAGGTGCAAGTCCAGTTACTCAGAAATAAGAAAAAATGAAGCTTTTTATTTATTCTTTTAACAAAATAATCAGGCCCTAACTCTTTTAGGTGAAGATGCAAAAAGAAAGAGATGTGAACTGGTCTATTCATACCCAGAATGTACTGATGTACTGCTTTTCTATTAACGCAGCATATGGTAATACATGTGTTTGTGATGCATCGTTATACGTGCTTTTGTAGTTCCAAAACAACAGATCTTACAGTTCCACCAAAAATGAATACAAGAGAAAAACAAAACACTAAAAGCACAGCTGGCGGGATGCTTTAACTTTTTTTTTTTTTTTTTTTTTTTAAAACGGTAACTTCATTATGAGACAGAAAGGAATACAAAAGTTGTGCTTTAGGTAGGAAAGATTATTTGAGATGTACAAGAAGGAAACAAATTGGAAACAGCACAGAACAAACTTCTGTTGAGAAAGATCGGTGCACAATAATATGTACTGAATACATTAAGAAGCACTAAACTTGCACTGCATACAAAAGTAGAAACGATAAGTCAGCAGCAATCTTAAAATTAATTCTGGTAGGTTTGCACAGAGAAAAATAATTAATTTTCAAAGAAGCAGGACTCTGATCCAGCATCAATGGCATTATGATTTTAAGTTTGGGGTAAGTGTTGGATTTTCTAAGTTCCAAAACGTTTGAGTTGACATTACTTGGTATCTCTAAATGCGTTCGAAAGTTCTACAGATATTGCTAGGCAAAAATAAAAGAATCTAAAATCATTACTGTAGTTTAAAAGAAGCCTAGAAAATTCATTATTTTCATACACTGAGACCTGATCTGTAGATCACCTTTTGGGCTTTCGGAATATGTTGCTAAGCAGTTGCTGATGCTTTCTTCCCTTGGTTAAAGTGTTACATGTTTCCAAGAACACTGTTTTACAAAATATTGTTGAGAAAACAAGAGCTCCTCTTCCTAATCACATTTTTCCAAGCACACAAAAATTTTCCCCCAGCAACAACAAACCTGGACTTATTTGACACTTACTCTTTGACATCACGAAGCTGATCAACATCCTGAGGTTTTGTGAAATCTGGATCGTGTGCCAGTAAGTGAATCATATATGGTACCACATATTCAGGCAGCAAGGATAGCAACTTTTCTACAGTAATAAGCAAAACATCATAAACAAACTGTCTTGCACACACATGAACAGATCAAGAAATACTGTTTCCAAGTATTATTTTTTCAAATATGAAATGTAAAACTTGGGATAGACTTGCAGTGTTTTCTTATAAATTTTACTTCTAATGAATCATGAAAAATAAATGAATGATTTTTACTAGTACAAGACTACCTGGTCTTACTCCAGAAAGAAAGTGCAGAATAAAAATATTAGAAAACAAAAATATCAGAATATTAATAATATTTAAAATATTAAACATCAAAAAATATCAGAAAACAAAATCTCATTTTGCGAGGAAGACAAAGCACATATCACAATAGCTACCAAAATAATAGCATTGTATTTATTCTGAGCATGTACACAGGCAGATATATACATATATAATTCTCAGCAGTGTACAGAAAATAATGTTACGGTTAATGCTAATGCTAAGTAAATTAAGATTTTCAATTTGATTAATATAAAGATGAGGAAACAAATTACATTTATTTATTTATTTTTAACAAAAGCAATTTGCTCAAGTCTTAATGATTACTCATTGCAGTTTACTTTTCAACTATTATATTCTTAACAATTTTACTGAAATACTAACCATTAGCCATGGGATTCTGCTTAATATATTCTCTTCGTATACTGATGTTTTTGAGCAAACACTGTCTGGCATGTGCTCTTCTCTCTTTCACAGGGTCTTTGGCACACAAAGCGAAGATTGCCATATATTCCAAAGGGAGCAGTAATTTCACAAGTGCCTTATGCAGTTTCTGGGCAAATATCTGCCTCACTTGGTAGCACTCATCCTATAGCAAAACAAAACATAAGAGTGCAACCACAAAAATCTTAAGTCTTTAATAAAAGGACTCAATCTGGAATTATGAGGTGGCACGTTTTAAACAAATCAACAGGTGCAGTACCGTATTTGAAGTCTTAAGAATTTTTCTGAAAGTTGCAGTGCAGAATAGAAAATAAAAAACATAAGGAAAAGTTCAGATGGAAGGACTCTGAACTCAATTAATTAAGAGTCACTGTAATTCAAAAGCAGTCACTTACATTAATGACAAGTGCACAGAGCTGGAACTGTTCTGGGGTAATTATTTCATGGTAACAGGGTTCCTGTGCGAGCTTCATTATTGCACTACCAGCAGCTAATCGCAGTCGAGACATATCAGATTTACTGTACAAATGTAAGAAAAAGCCCCAAGCTTAAATTACTTGTATATCACAGTTTCTTCTTTTTACAAGATCATTCAATGAGCAATTTATTTTTTCTCCAACAATCAGATCTCATTTCTGTGGCTTCAGATCAAGTTAAATTTTCACAAGATGTAGTTGGGTTAGTAAGGGGCTATGCTTTCCCCTGCATAACTTCAGTCCAGCACAACGGTGAAATGAGAAGAGTCACATTTCTTTGCTTTCATATTACTGTCTAAATCAACTCCTAAAGCAACATTTATGCCACAGATTTTCTCTTTCTCTCTCTCACCCTCTGAGATGACATGCAAAGTAACCTCACTGTTGAAACGAAGAAGCTCCACCCAAAGCTGCCCCACTCCTAAGTGTGTTGAATCTGATCTGTCTGGTGCTTTCAAAGATACCCCTGAAGGTTTTTTACTCTCTGAAAGGTCTTTTACTATCAAGATATCTACAAGGTTCTGAGTTAGACTATTGCAAGCAAGCAAATTGCAATAAAGAGGGAGTATCAAGTGTTTTTTTTATGCATGCCATTTCAACCCTAAAATTAAAACTCCAGTCAAATCTGTTCTCTGCCATCCCATCAGCCGACACTGCGTTTATCTCAAAATTCTACAAAAGCTCTGAAAGGATTAACGTTTACTGAAATTCTACGATAAATTTGATAGAAGTCTGAAATGAACAATATCTGACCTGATTCTCTTCTGTTCTGTCAAGTCTCCTTCACTGACAAGCATAGCTGATAATAACCGGAGTGTGGAATTTGCAGATTTTGACTGGTTGTTTTTCATACCCAAGAGCCAGCGTACCAAAAGTTTAATTGCTTGCACCTGTTAAAGATCAACAAATACAAATAAATGATGCTCTTACTACCTAAAGTTGATAAATCACTAAACCTACTGCTGTCAAACTGAGATACTGACTTATCAGAGTTCATGTATTTTTAAAGGAACAGAATGAAGCAGTAAATATTTACAGAATGAAGAAGTAAGCAGTAGTCTTTGGGAGATCATGATATTTCAACTATGGTTCAGTGTCTTCTCACAAGTACATCTAGAGGCTGTGGGATACTTGTTTCATGATTAAAAATATGAGTAACTAGATAAACATTCCTAGATGGTCATAATTAGATGGCCATCTAGATTCACAGTATGGCCATAATTAGAGTCACAGTAAATAGCCTATAAGGATGAATGAAGAAATTTCATCAGGGTCTCCATATATTTCAAATGTGTTTACAGTCAGTAAAGTCAAATTACCTTTCTTGTAAGAAAAAACAGCGAAGTAATCATCTTCTTTAATGAATCTTTTAATTTTCTCAACGTTCAACATACTTAACATCTGTACATGAAGATCTCAAAATACATAGTTTTCACCAGCTCTATAAGCATGTGTATAATCCACATAGACGGCATATATTCTAAAGAGACTAACAATACAAAAGTACTCAAAAGAATTTATCTTAATATTCTCTATTGTGTGACCTGGAAAAAAACTAATTTTTAAATTATATATGTTATTATTGATAGCAAACCATTCACCTTTGCTAGAACTTCTGGAGAAACCTCTTCATCTGGAGACCACAATTTTCCATTTTTCTCACCTGTTGACTACAGATACTCATATAAGTTTAAGAACTGGTTCAACCTATACATAAAATGTAGGGCTAGGAATGGAAGTAAGTTAAGGACTTCCTTCCACACAAATGATCTTTTGTAATGCAATGCCACCATACCGACCACCATATTTACAGAACATTCCTTTATTGACCCATTTAACAAAAAACAGCTCTATTCCCCACACGCAGAAAATAACCAACTAACAGAATAGTAAAGACTAAAGAAACAAACAAAAATATCTTACCCTGTCGTTCATTAGGAGATCTTTCACGATGAAATTTGCAACAACAGATTTCATTGGAGAAGCAAACTGGTCTGGGGCCAACATAGAAATATGACCCAATGAGACTAACGGAGTTATAAGTTGTTCTGGTACATCAGCATTCAAACTTCTACTAAGAGGCTGAGGAAAAAAAAAATAAATTCAAAATGAACTATACATTAGCAACTCAGCACACTTAAAAATAGCTTATTTGACTGCTGGATTGCTGATGTGTTTCACAGCCTTCCATAATAATTAATAAAATTAGCAAAACAAATTGGAGAAAGGGTGCAATTTCCTAGTTAACAAAGTAACCAACAATCTCTCGTGAGATAAGGGCAAAACAATTTTATATTCTCTTCTTTAACAGTGAGGCACGGTGAAACCTGCAGGACATGGGAAAAAACCTCAGGCTCAATTCTATTCATGAGTTGTGAAAACGTGAATCATAATTACAAACAGTACAGGTAAAAACTTGGAAACAACTAAGGACTTTTCTATCAGTGATCAGCATTTCCCGTCTAGATAGCAGCTACCGGATAATTCTGTGCTGCTGTATTACTCAGCATCCACACATTATCTTCTGATAGTAGGGAGGGAACATGAACTTGCACTCCCACAGAAGTTAAAGCAATGAGATCAGCCTCTAAGTTTAATCCAAACATCTTCATGCTTCTGAACTACACATAGGTTCAAAGATAGCCAAGATGAAAAATGCAAGATGTCTTACAAGTGTAGGTTAATAATGTTAGTATATAAAGATTACAGTGAAAATAACCTTTTCTTCTCTGTATAAGGTGACTTTTTGTTTTACAACTTGTCTAAGCAAGGAAGTGAGCAGCAAGCCAATGCTTGAGCTTACAGCAGCTTAGTTACTCTGCACTAACTTCCTTCATGAGAAGGTGCTGTATGCGCAGAGTTTTAAGAATGGTAATTCAATACAGTTTGAAAGCAGAGAATGCTCTCTCTCATTTAGTACCTGCTATATGTGTCCACATGGGAGTTTGTGTGGATCCTTCCACCACAGTTTCCAACAACTTTTCCCATGCAGACAAAAAGGAGTACCTTATATATCAGACACCATAACACTATAATACCAGAACTCTAAGAAACAGAAATATTAGTAATTTGTTATTGCAAAATGACTTATCTCAACTGCTATGCACCTGTAGGCTTCCTTACCTAATAAATGCCAACTGTTAATTAAAATATGAATTCAATTAATGTTAATCACTAGTCTCAGTTAAGACCAGAAACAAACCTGAAAACCAATAAAGCAAAACATACCTCAAAGATCTGTGCAAGTTGCACTTCTTTATTTGAAAATATGGCATGTATACAGTGAACAGCTTGTTTTGCCTGGTGAGGAGTGCCTCTTTTTGCTTTCTGATGCAAAATTGGAATTAGTGTTCTGTGAACATTAAACAAAATACTTCAAAATATAATTTGCAATCTACAAAAATATAGTTCTTCTTGTATACAGATCTCTCCTTACAGGATTACAATCTTATCAGCATTCCTTTGAAGTCTGTTCAGGAAAGATAATAATCATACAGCGAAAAGCAGGATGGAATTGTTTTTAGTGTTACTTGTTGAACAACTGACTGTACACAATTAAACAGAAAGAAGCCCACAGGGAAAATCACATATGAAAGAAAGCAATGATCAAAATAAGGCTGTTTAGGAGGCCAAAGGGATGGGGGTGGAACCTTACAGGTTCAGCTAGGGTAAACTCCTGGGCTTGTTATCCAAGCTAGAGTTGGAAGTGATTGGGCTTAATAAAATTTATGAAAGCTAGGAATAACCATTAAACATTAGTGTGTTCATAGGCCTTTACTCCTTTAACTGTGGTCTTTAATAGCAACGTGTATATTCCTGTGAATAACTGCTTTATTTTGAGCTTTGGCATTTGCATCCCCTTAAATCTATTTCCTGATCAGAGGTCACTGAAGGAAAGAGCAGGACAGAAGCCACTCCAGAGATCAGCTGCAGGTTGGTCAATTTGTTCAGTTCCACTCCTGAGCGTGCGCAGGAAGGCAAGCCTGCTACCTGAAAGATCATCATGTGAGAGACTAGCTGATAAGGTTTACTGTGTAACTCACCTGGCAACTGAGACAAGTAAATAAAATTGGACAGAAATTGTCTGACCCAAAAACATTTAGAAAATTCTTGTTTCTTGTAAAGCTCAATACCAATACAGCAGTCAGTACCCAGATTATCTAGCACCCAATCTTCACTAAAACATTTTACATAATCAAAAGTAGCAATAAGAAATGGAAGAAAAGCTTACAGAGTTGAAAGAACAGTCTCAAATTTTTTCCTCAAAACCCACATAAACCCTGAAAACAAACCAAAAAAAAAACCTAAAAAAAGTTAACAACGTCTTATGAGTATGTGAAGTAAGCTCCAAAATGGTACAGAACAGTTATCTATTTGAACAGTTTTTCTCAAACCTGCCAAGATTTTACAAGTTGGATTAAATAAGAAACAAAACAATACAGAATTCAGTGAAACCTACAATCAAAATAAGCTTCAATGCCTCATCTGTAGCTTTAACAGTGTAAACACATCCACTTTAAAAGGCCTTTGCCAAGGACAGATGCATCGGTCACAAATCATTCACGCCCCAACTGACATAGATCTGCAAAAAGCAAAACTTAAAAAGTGTAACATGTTCTATAGGTTCTGCTTGAGTATGGTCAGTGCTTCCCTCTGACTCTAGAACCATGTGAAACTCCCTGTTCATAAACTGGTGCACAAAATCACTTCCCTTATGAGGAAGAATTTGAGCTACTGCTAAGAAACACTACTTCAAAGGACAGGAGGCAGTCTGCGCTCAGAAGGACTTTGAAAAAAACAGATTACTTGAAATGAACAATCCTGCTGATTGCTTCAGATCTCTCATTTATGGTAAAGATTGTTTAATATACAAAATCTGGAACATCTTGTCCGGATTTGTTTACTTGTTCTCAAACTTCTTTTTCAGCCAGGGAAAACACTGACCCGGTTTTAGATTTCAGAACATTAACTAGCAATCTCAAAGATCAAGTGTCTTGATGAGACCTACTGGATCTACCAATTTTTGATAGTGTTATTTGTTGCCCTTGACTTCCTTGCAAACAACACAAAAAGTTAGACATCCATTCTGACAAGTATATTTCTAAGTTACTTGAGACTGGGCCCAGACTATACTCCAGCAATATCTAGCTGAGAAAAGAAATCAGAAAAAATGCCAGTAATATCAGCTCCTCTGACAGAAGATGATGTACCCTAACAACGCACAGTTTTGATGAAACTCTTATAGCTTCTCGGAACTATACCGACAACTGGGAGCGTTCAGCTTTTCCTTCTCTTAACCCCTACAAATGTCTTAAAGCTGTCCTGTATGTGAACTTAAAACTTGTTTTCTTTGCCTAAAACCTGACTCAAAGCACAAGAACTGCTGAAGTTACACCTTCAATTCATCCAGAAATTAAGGTGTATGTCTGTATGCATTTTAGCAGGTAGCACATGAGTTGTTATTTCCAACACATGAGAACTTGAAACCTGCACCTTATATTCTGGATTATTAGTTACTAAAAGGTTGATCTTAAAGTTTTGGACTTCACCCACAAAGTCTTAAATAGTCTGCGAATACTCAGTAGATTATACACAGCTTTAATCAGCAGTTAGAGCAGAAACTGTAGAAAAGATGAGTGATAGCCAATTATTCTTTGTTAGAAATTCATGCCTGCCTTTGGAACTTGTTTCCCAACTTCTTCCACAACAGACAGAGCTGTTATCCTTCAGAAACTGTATTTTCACTCCCCACAAAGACGGGAAAAATTGTGTGAAGGACAGATATAAGTAGAAACAACGCCAAGAAATTACATCTTCACCATATTTTTGTTGTTGCTTATTTCGTAACCTGGGAAACAGACTACACTCCAGTGTTTAATGCATCTGTTACAAGGAGATTGTTAAGGACGTAACGTCTTCAATAAATACACAAAATTGTAAGAGCACAAAGTTTAAAAATGAAGAGACAGGCGGAAGGGTAGTGAAGGAATACAAAACGATGGAAGACATTCATATTTACAAGACTAGCAGGTAATTTTAGGGTCCACATATTGAATAAACTATCCAGAGGCAGAAGTTTACATATGAAAAGAAATATGTAAAGAAACACACTCACGATCTTATCTGTGGCAGGTCTGTTTCTATTTTGTGACCCGTGTTTCTGAAAATCTGTATGGCTGCCTCAGCTACCTTATCATCTTCCATCCTGAGGCACTGCAGCAGAGACTCATAGGTCTCTGCAGAGTGGAACGAGGTAGGATGTGTAAAGGACAGAACCTGGAGATACATGTTAAAAGGAAGGTATTTTATTCATGGAAAATAAATCACCAGAAAAAAAAAAAAGATGGCTTTTTGTGAGCATTAACATAAATAACATATACATAAATAACATATACATAAAGACAATAATATATAATAACACACACACACACACACATATAAAATAACATAAATAGCTATTGCATGCTCATATGAGATTATAACATTCAACAATTGCATTTTAGAGGAGGTAAGTAGTTCTTCTTTAGAACTACTTCTACCATACTTATGCCATTGCCAAATTTGGTGTGATACGCCTCCATAAACTCCAACTCATTCATTCATACTTCAGAAAAGGCTCACCTTAATTATGTAACCTTGCCCTCCATGCTGTCCCTGATTTTATACTGCCTTCTTTGTAATATCGCATTAGAAAACTGTCAAACGTATCACAGATGTTTCCAGACATTTCAAATCCTTCTTTCTCCCCTAAAGCCTGTCATTTCTCATTACCGCTGAGAATACAAGTTCCTTTCGTTTGCCCTACACAACTTGGCTCTTGAACTTGTTTGCTTTTCTTCTAATACTATAACAAATCTCTCCTAATTTCCCCATTTCTCTTCCTCTCACTTTAGCTCTGTACTTTCTTCTATATGACAGAAGAAACAGAAACCACTTTCTGCTTTAACATCCACACTGCAACTTTTTTCAAAACGTATTCCTTCCAGAAGTCAGTCTACTTCATGATTCTCTTTCCATGTGAGTATTAATAATCACAACTTTGTACACATTAAAAAATTATCAAAATAATAACTAGTAAAAAAAAATTATCAAAATAATAACTAGTAAAAGACATGCTAACATTCGTTAATCACACCACATCTGTTTCCTCCTTACAAAATATATAGCTACATTAATGAAGATTACCTTGAGAAGTTCAAGTCCTGCACGAATAGCAGTATCAGGACTTACACCCTCCTCTTCATCATCAGCTGTCCCCTCTATTGATTTATTCATCAGTTTTACTAGTGCACTAAAATAAGAGATACAAAAAGAAAAAAAACAAATGAACAGGACAATGTACAACGTTAAGGCTAGCAACATCAGCAAAATTATTTGGTATTGACAATAAGTAAAGGAATGGTGACAGTCTATTGTTTTTATGATGGTATTCTGTTACATTTCTTTTCTTCCAACTTAGTTTACGGCTAAATTTAATTCCTTAAAAAGAGACATGTTGGCAGAATCCAGATCAATAGGTATTTGCATGAGTTTTAATATACAGTCAGGTTGCCAGACAAGTCTCATAGGAAATTCAAATATTCTCTTACTCAATCCGGCAAAAACTAATTAATTCAACTCTTATATGGAAGACTATGTGGCAGTTAACTATGTGAAAATTATGCTCATTTTCACCTTAAGCCCCACAAACAGCAATGTTACCAGCAAAAACTTCTATATTTTTAAAATCATTTGCAGACTCAGCATTGCAAAGAAGTTGCAAAATTTAATAGCACTTTCTAGACTGTTGGAAATGAAGACGTCTATGGAGAATTATTTTAAAAAATTATATCTATTGTTAGGGCAGACTAACCTAAACCCTAAGAAAATCCTAATTTTTGTTGTTTAAACAAACTTCATAATCATTCATGAATTAGCGTGATTTTCCAAACTTACCTAATGGCTTCTGAGTCAATATGTACAGGGGCAATTCTTTCCAAAAGAAATTTGACCATTTCCAAAAAAGGATTTGTTGGCTGCTTCGGATTTGCAAGTTTCCGGGCTATCTCTCTCTACAAGAATGTTAGATTACAAGCAAGAATTGGACTCATTTTAATTATTCCTTAAGCATCTTGAATAAGCAAAATATATAGTCAGTTCTTTTAACTATAGAGATTGTCTATATAATCATGGAAACATGTTTTAAGGGGGACTGCTGTTATCTCCAAATCTTTTTTTATCACATTACAGCGAAAGCAGACAAGATCTACAAAAGTATTTAAAGGTAAGATGTATTTAGCTCTAGTAGGAGCTCTTTAGAGTTTCTTGAGGAATTGCAGACCAGATCGAAAACAGAACCAAGGGAGAGCTGAGTGCAATGTGGACAGAATTTAGATATCTAAGCTGACAAGAGTAATCTGTAAATCCCCACATAATGTGGCTGAATGCTTGAGATGCCATAAACAACAAAAGTTTGCAGTAAAAGCTATGCTACTACAGATGTGCAGAAGCACTGCATTACCTTGGCTACGATATATGTTCAGACCACATGTCCTTGCCTATGAACTTTTTGGATCCAAAATCTGTTTTTCCCCTCTCAATACCCCAAACATATGTCAAGAATGCTAAATTCAGTGCAAACCCAGCAGAAAGAATAAGAATAAGAAGATAGAACAGAAACCTAGAATCTCTTAAAGAAATAGTTTCTTGAATTTCCTTTTTCTGAAGTATTTGAAGCTATAGACCCTAAAAACTAGGAGACTGCCCTGTCCTAAACATAACACTGAAGTGTATTCAGGAAGAGGAAGAGGAGGAAAGAAGTCTTCCTGTTGAAATTGCATCACTGTGTTCCCAAAGTGCAAAATTTACTAGTTCAGAAGGAGACACACTCTGTACATTAGCGGTTAAGACATAATTCTGATGGTCATTCTACAGTTTTGGTCCCTAGGCAATTGCAGAACTGTCAGACAAAAAGAAGCCGCCTATGTTACTTGGTACTCTCTATTTTAATGTTAGTCAATCAAATTGTTTGCTTTACTTTGGGACCCAAACGAAAAAAAAACCTGACTGTTGGCACAATCTGTGAACCTCTGAAAACGTCTGGTTAAATACTAAGATAAGTATTTTCATCAGTGGTATCAGACTCCAGGAGAGAGACAGAGAAAAACATGAATAATATAAACATGGTATAATATTTGGCTTGCTGGTTCTCATAACAAGTTTCATCAGTGTCGGAAGAAAGTGTAGGAGCCTTTCCATAATAGAGACTCTTGAAATAAAATGACAAATTAAATCAGAATTTTAGACTTTATGTTTGATCCCTATAATCTCAGGAAGGAATAAAACAAACATTTCCTTAGAAAGTAAGATAACAATTATATTTCCAGTAAGCCCTACAGGTTAACCAAAAGATGTTTTTCAAAATAAGAAATATATAAATTAACATTAACGTACTAAAAGAGACCTTTAACTCTGAACAACTGTTTTAAATCCAAATATTTGAGGCATAAAAGTTTGCTTTTCCATTTCCTTACCACACAGATATCTGCCTGTTTACATGAACATGTAGGGCTAATTAGAAGTTCAAGCTGGGACCGAAGTTTCTCATCATCACCCAGAACCTGATTGAATTTCTTCACAAAATCTTGTGCTTTTCCGGGATCTGGAAGGTTTTCTACATGATTAAACACAGTGTAAACATAAGATAAATTTGCCACTTCAGTAGGTCAACATTCATAGAAATACAATTTGCAGGAATGTTGTTATAACAATTTACAGAACTTATTAACACTCACTTGCTATGGTCATCAGCTTTCCAAACATGGCAGCACTGTTTGCTTCTGACTGAGAACAGCAGAAAAAACAAAAAGAAAAAAGATCAGTGATACCTCCTTTAGGAAATTTACTTTTAAGCTGATCTGTCAGTTCTTCTGCAGCAGTTTGTTTTACTCTGGAATCTGGCTTTTTTGGTTTTGCCTTAAGAATAAACACTAGAATAGTATAATAGTATCATTAGCAACCGGTAGATACAAAAAGAGAGGGAAAATCTTACAATATCAAAGAATTGCAAGAATTCACTAGCACATGACAAATCAAATTCAATTGTCTATGCTGTTGGAAAAACACCTCAAAAAACCAACCCAACCAACCGTGCACTTTCATTTAAAGTTTCTGCCAGTGTGAAGATATGCTTGCAGGCAACACTCCAGTATAAATACTTTAAAACTTCTGTTTTTAACCCATCCCTAAAAATTGCTTTATGTTATAGCATATTCCATTTGGAAACATCAAAATACATTATAAAATGAGAATTAACAAAGGCCTGTCAAAAAACCTTGGAAAAACTCCTTAACTCTTTCCAAAATTCCTCACTCATAACATAAAATCATGGTAAACATAGGGTGGCCACATTCCTGTAAGCATTACTGAAAGTAACTTTACTTAAGAAAATGGAACACTGTCTATATGCAAAAAAAAACAAAAAAACAAAAAAACACAACAACAAACCAATACACTAATAAGCACTAAACAAATAATACAGTATAAAATATGTAAATTAGTGTAACAGGTCCATAGGATAAAGTATTAATATTTTCAAAACCGTACAGTGGGCTGCTTGTGCAAGTCTAGTAATTCTCGTACATGACTTCTTAGCATGTTCTGGCACTTCCACATTTCATTCAGTGCTCTGCAAAAGTGTAAAACCAGAAAATAAAAGCTTACTGATTTGTACATCACAAGAACATGCTGGATGCATTAGTAAAAAAGGTTATTTATTTACAAGTACAACCTCTGACAGGGATAAACAAAACCTACCAAGTATATTAAAAATAACACAGCCCTAAACAAGGTGGAACAGATTTTTTTCTTCTTGGACAAAAAAAGAGAACTGTAAACCCAGAACATTTCTATAAATTTAAAATGTTTTCCATAAAATTTATATCTATGATGTAATAATCAGCTTGGTCCATTATCTAAGCAGAGCTTCACAACTTCTATGAAGTCTTCAAGGGAATATTCAGTATAAAAATAAAAATGTTTTAACATCTCTAAAGATCTACTTTTAAAGTAAAATTTTCTGTCCCTTTACTCTCCCATCTAAATGAATCCTTTAATCACTGCCAAATATTATTTCCTTTAAACTAAAAAAAAAAACCTCTGAAATACTAGTCTACAAAAGATACTAATGCACGTAAGAGTCAGTTCAATCATATAGAATGCAAAGTACCAAGACTACAGTATTTTGTACAAGTTTTCATGTGCAAATTACACTGAATATCACATCTATTTTGCACATCTACTTATAACAATTTCATATACACAGGACATCCGCAATACAGCTTACTACTGCCCAGTTAGCTCAGAAACAACATTTTCAACGTAACAAACAGACCACTGTCAGCCAGAATTTGGTTATGGATGTCTTTATCATGGATCCTAACATTGAGCAAATCTAGAAGCCATCACTTCGGCACTTTCTAACTCTGCCTGGACTTAGCCAAGAATGTCAAGTGCAAATCCAAATGTGCTGCTGAACATATATGCTGAAGAGAGAATGTTCGTAAGGCAAAAAACTAACTGTCATGCTTAAAATCCTTGAAAAAAGTAAATTCAGCTAGTAAACTGACCTCTGTGTATTGCTGAAACATATTTCTTCCTTACCCGTTAAATTTCAATTCTTCCAATGACATGGACAATTTTAATCAAAATACATCAGTTTAATTTTGATATAAAACCCAATGAAACTGATGCAGATAAACAAAACCCTAAAACCACTCTCTCCTCAAATATCGAGGTATCTTGCTGTCCAATGGTCGTATAAAGCCAGTATCTAAAAACTGATACATCTGAAGGAAATATTTTGAAATAATACTTGCAAATAACACTTATTTATAATCTTATTTAAATTCTAATAATATAAGTGAGATCTGAATAAGATTTGTGAATAACAGAGTAGCTGGGCATTGTAAGTGGTAATTTAATAATTTAATTCATTGCAAGCAAACGGGGTTCCAAATCCAGACGAACTAAGAGTTGGTAAATGATTAGGCTAGACCCAAATCTTTGACAGACTATACAGAAATTGGAAAAGGCTGAAAAAGAGACAAATATTTGCTCAATATTAACTATACTCACTTGACAGCATTTGGATCCAAGCTAGCATACAAATAGTACAAGCACTTCATTCTCTCTTCAGTTTCCAAATTGTGTGGGACAAGATACTGAGCAAAGATTTTCTCTACCAGTAATCTGCAGCAAAAGAAGAGATAAAATCTCTACATTTCCAAAAGCACTGATATCTTTCAAACAAGCTGGAAGAACAAGATATATCAGGATTTACTGAAACTAGATTTTTCAGCAGAGAAGAAAAAGAAAGTAATGGTCTTTCCCTCAGTTGTAAAGATCCCTTCCCACAGTTGATTGAAAGATTAGCAAGAACTGCTTCTTGAGAACTCTTCCATGCCATTTCATTTTCTCCTCAGAGAGGGTGTAATCATTTTACTTGTCACCATCCAAATTCTCCTTTTTCTTTGGGCTCTGAGGAGCTCCCTTTGTTCACTCTCATACACAAGAGAAAGGGACACAGACAGTAAAAAGCACAAGTAAAGGAGAAGGAATACAAGAATACAACTTGAGGGTGAGAAAAAGTAAAAATCTTAAGTATCGTAGAAGGAAAATTTCAACTAAAATGGTAGTATTTGAGATAAAGTAAAACATTTGATACTATTGATTATTCTAATACAGAAGCTGAAAATAAGCACTAAAAAGGTGCAGATCAAGAAACACCAAAATATACGCAAAGGAACGAAGGGCAATGACAACAAATCAAGCAAGCAAAGAAATTTCACAACTAAATCTCCTTTTTTTTTTTTTTAAACAAACTGCAAGAACACATATTTAAGTTTTTACATAAAATATAAAACCATGAACTACAAAATTGGACTATCCAGTCCATCTAATTATAAATAAAAAAGCCCTGAAAGAGCATTCAGATGTTAATTTATACCAGTGAGAGCTGTTCACAACGTCCAGCTACACAATTTAATATTGATGGATAGCTATTTTGCGTGCTTGAATTTCCAGATTTTGTTTACAAAGATTCCTACTAAAGTACCCTGGGAGTGCCTTGTACAAAGAGCGTAGAATGCAGAGCAGGTCAAAAGCACCTTATCTCTGATCAGAGAAATTCCAGGAGACATGATGCCAAGTAGGAACAAAAGGATGGTCATGAACATGAATGCAACTATCTCAAGGCACCAAAAACTTGGCTTTCTCCCTTTACATGTACATTTTACTACTGATGACTCCAAAACCTAAACTACTTCAGGGAGAGGATCTTTGAACCTCAGGAGACTCCATCACTACTTTGCTCAATGTATCACGAGATCAGAGGCATAAAAATCATCTAACTTATTAATTTATGAACATAGCTTTAGCCCATGACAGTACAGATACCTTTTCCAGAAATGCTGTCAGTATAAATGGTGAGATTGCATCATGCCTCCCTGGTCCCTGTAGGTTAGGGTAAGGATTTACAATTAGGTACTACGCTTCAGAGGCAGGCTTCTCCTGTGAGGAAAGCCACCAAATGTTCATTGCTGGCTAGTGTATCACCAAGCAGGTAATAGGGCAGTGTTTACAATGTGGTTATTTCACATCATTCTCTGTGCATTTGCTGCAAAACATGAAGAATCTCAGGGCACACAGGTGGCAAGCAGTTTTTATGGCTGCCCGTTCTTGGTTTTGACTGCACATGCACATCAACAGTCAGCTACATCAAAAATATTAGTTAGTGACAGAGTTAAGGATGTTTAGGTATAATTTATTCTAATCCACTTTGTGCCTGAACACAGTACTGTGTGACACTGTGCTCTTATTCTTTGAAGGAACTGGTGCTATTCCATGCACAATGGAATCCACAACGGAAAACACTCCAAGGCTCAGACAGCTGTTCACTGTTACTTTTTATCCTCATCCCCCATTAGGGAAGCAAAATAGGCCAAGGTTTACAAATTCTGACCTATGTGTTCGTGTTTAAAGACTGGATAAACTGAGTCTTAGAGATAACAGCATTTCTATAGCTCTTCAGGTGCTAAAGTGCTAACTTCCTAATTCTAACAATGATAAAGTTAGAATGCGTTTATTCCTCCACGCCAAGATGAGGAAACCAACCCGATGGCATGACTGAACAAGGACTTCATTGTCAACCTTAAAAACTAGCATAATTCAGACTAAAATTCAGGTTCCTAAACTAGAGGAACAATAAAAAAAAATAAAGCCTCCAATCCTTTAGTGTGCGCACCCAGAAAACAAACAGCATGATATCAGTGGTTATTCATGAAAAGACTGGTGTAAATGTCTTAACCAGACCCTCAGAAGAAATCATGTTAGAGAAAGAAACTCAGCTTTGATGACACAGTCTTTCCTTGAAATTTCTTGCCTCATTTCCTTTGCACAGTTCTGCGTTTTCAGTGAGCAGGAATATTAAAAACATCTGTCACTATAAAACTAAGACTCATTCCCTGTTCATTATCGGCTTGTATGCTGAATGAGACATGAACGTGGTACAAAAACCATGAATCTCACAATGCAGCTGAAAGCATATTTGATGCATATACATATTCAGAATTAGCTTTGTATACACTAGGTGAGGATTTCCTAATTTGTCAGTATTTGACACTTCAGCCTTGGCAGACTTTCAGTGCAACTTTTGTGTATACAGTTTCATAACCATATCTTTCTTTTTCTTTTTTCTTTGTTTTTTTTTTTTAAAAAGGTAACTAAACAAATATGTAACTGTGGCCCACTTATGATCAATAACGTGAACAAACTGAACCTTCGCCATTGTGGCAGTCTTTTGTGATGTTATCCAAAAGAATTAACTATAATAACAGGTAGCTGAAGGAGGTTATTAGCCCATTTGGAATAGTAGCTAAGACTATGCAACACTGAAGTAGCAGACTGCATACACAAGACGCCAAGAAATTCTATAAGAAATGGCTGAACTGTGGGTAGACTGTATTTAAAACCTAGGCTAAAATTCTATCTCTCCGTGATCTCATAGTTTGGCTTTCCTTGTGAAAGACACAGAATTAACAGTGAGAGTTGAAAACTCTGACCTTCTAATACCTTGGCCAAAATACTTTTTGTCTAAGCCAAAGGGTAGTTCAAAAATTAAAAGGAGGGAGTGACAAAACAGGGAAGACTAGGCAGCAGCGGAGACATCTCAGATATTTCTGTTGCTTTCATTCTATCTAAAGGGTCAAGTTCTAGGCAGCATAGCAAAATGAGACGTCATGGTAGCGTGCACATGCACAATGCTCATAGAACACTGATAAATTTAACATGCAAGACTCTAGTCAGTATTAAGGAAAACAACAAATGAGCATAGCAAAAGTAAAATTTGATAATCTATGCAGTAGTTAACAACAATCCAGCATCATCGCAGGTCTAGTTTTAGCAGTATACAGAATGAATACACGAATAGATAATGTAACCATCCTGAAGATCTTAGTATGTGTCTTAATGATTATTAATTAAATGCATCATACTTAAAGCTACAAAAATATGTGACATAAGGACATCACTGTAATACCTTTCACATTTTCATATTTTCATTTATTTCATTTTTCATTTATCATTTTTCATTTTCAGAATATCTCTTATCACCACACAAAATTAGGAAGGCTTAAGTTGACTCACTTGTCATCAATGCTATTTTGATAATATATGTGCAAAAGTTTATCCTTTATCCAGCTCACTTTCTCTGCAGCATCTTTTCCAGCCTCGGCATGAAGGCAATACTTCTTGTACAGCTGGGCAAGACCCATCATAGCTTCTTTTCTTACTCGCCACTTGAGGAGGAAGAAATGAAAGGAGATAGGGCAGTGGTTTTGGTAAGTAAATATGAAACATACATAATACAGTGGATGTAGAAGAGAGAAAGACAAAATGGCCATATTCCGACCTCCTAAGTTTAGGCATTGCAAAAGCTGAAAAACGTACTTCAGAACCTCTAAATTAGAATTTGTAAGGCTTAAATAAGGTGCTTTTCCTCTCTGCTACACACAGTAAGTAGTATCTCTACAGAGGAACCAGTACCCTCCTATGCTGAATAAAGAAAAGCTTGGACCTGGTCAGCATAAAAAATTTAAGTACAGCTTAACATGTATGTCTGAACATGTATGTCTTCTTAAGTCAGGATCCGGAACACTGGTATCTATTCTGAGGCAAGCACCAACCAAGGTGGCAACTTTCTTTTGCTTAACAGCCTTACAGTTAACACACTTGTCTAGACATGGGAGATCTGGGTCTAAAGCTATTGCCCTCGCTTAGCTTGCCAGGGCTTGAACTCTTAGGCTGCTTTCCAGGAGAAGCAGGAGACACCCTTTGGGCTGAAGCCTTCAAGGCTCCACTGTAAGACTCCATGCAGGAAAAAAAAAAAAAAAGCAGGATAATGCCTGACTCTGCAGCCCCCATACTTGGAGTTCCTACGTTTTCACCCTTGCTTCTCATGGGGGTCAAGTATTTTACCCACCAGTATAAACAGGAAATGTCCCAATATTAAACACATGTTAACAGACATGTTCCTTAATCTCTCTTACACTGATTTGTGGAAGAAACCATACCAGAACTGATCACGGATTCATTTAGAGAGAGAACAGTATCTCCAGCTGAATGATTCACACAGGAAGCCTCAGAAGAAACTTGTTTTCCCTCACCATCCAAGAGAAATGCATGGAATTCAGACTGCAAGAGAGAATTTCTTCCAGATCACAGCTAGATATCAACTTAGCCTTGAACTCCAAGGATTGACAATGCTCAAAATATTTAACCCTATCAAGTATAAAGGTAGATACTATTATTCACATTGCATGTAATTTCATGGATTAAAGGTTTTTTTTTTTTTTTTTAAATTTCCTGAACGCAACTAAAATGGTCTGAGTCAGTGAAGACTCTGGAAAGACTCTAGGGACAGCACTCCGATGAAAAATCCTCAGAAAAATTCTTATCAAAGACTGGATTCCAGCTTGTGGAAAATATCTGTTCACAGTTACTTTTCCAAATGGAGCAATAAAGATGGATTTGAAAACTGCAGGTGTGTTTGTCCCTTCTAAATAGCTGCAGTCATTGCACAAATGCCCACACAGACCAAGCTGGACTTTTTTTAAACTGAAGTACTGTCTTTCAGCCATAAACATTTGCCCTAGGAAAGTCAATAGTCTTCCTTTACTAATACTGTGTCAATTAAAATATGGTCAGCAGAAAAATTAGATTGCATAAATGCCATAACAGTTTCTACACTTTAAATTTAAAATGTTCTAGATTTCACATTGTTTTTTATAAAGGAAAAAGGCAGCAGTGATCTGATATATGAAATGAGTGCTAAAACAATCAGTATTTTACTTTGGTGCCTGTTTGGCAAGTATTTGGTTTTACTGTAAAAATCTATACTTATTTGACAGGTGACTGCAAGCCCAAAAAGAATTAGATGGAAGTCAAATTGATGGAGAGACAACATACAAGTTTGCAGCAGATTTGCCCAAGGGGAATCTGACCTTGAGAGGTAAATGAAGGTGGCAAAAGATCACCAAGTTCTTAAAAGTAGAAGAATAATTGCATAATGTACTCTGTCTGGGACTGAGAAAATGCTATATAGAAAATAAGGAGGCAGTTACAAGGACATATTAATGTCCCTCTCCTGATTTGAAAAAAGAACCCTTAAAAAAGTAAAATGATGAAAGTTTACAAGTGCCTGATATTCACTATGACACAGTTTAATTGAATTTACAAAGGCATTCTTTATTCTTAAGGTCTATTTCAAACTGCTAAGTACTCTCTGTAGCCACTTCTAGTCAATCCTCAAATAGAGTTTCACTAAAGGGCTCTCTAGAGATTTTTATGATAGAAACGTCACCTACAGATGAAATCATTCTTTGCTGATGAGCTTCCAAAAAGGCACCTGACCTCCTGCCATGCAACCAACCTATCATCAAATCTATGACTGAAGGGGCATCACTAAGCCAAACAAACATATGAGGAGCATTAACAAGTACCACAATGAGTTTAAGGTTATATGAATTGAAAAACCCTGCCACGGTAAAAATGAGCATTACAGCTGTACTACTGACCTCTTGTCACAGACAGTGAGATGCTAAAGGAGAACAGAGATACTATGCAGAAGACGCAGTAACAATCATTCCATTCTGACTAGGTGAAAATCCTGGTGGGAAGTGATGGTTAGACTAAACATCTTTAGATATCAAAAATTACTTATTTTGGTTTGTTTGATTAATTGCTCAAAGAAGAAGAGGGTGGTCTTAATTGCTTCTGGAAAATGTGTGAGGTCAAGCTCCAGGTGCAACTAATTGAAGAGCCGCTTTGTAATTGCAAACATAACCTACTCAAAATCAGTATTTCTGTATGTATGAAGACAAGATCTTTTCTTCAAAATCCATTACAGCAACGCTCTTATTTAAAAAGGGCAGCAACATCAAATAGAGAAAATTATTTTAAAATAATTAAAGGGGCTATCTAGAATGGTGTGGTTTATAGAAAAGATACCTCCTATCAAAAAGGAACAAAAAACCATCAATATGGCTACAGAGCAAAGTCTGCTATTAAGACACCCTCTTCCAAAAAGCATGGAACCACATCCAAAAGAGTTTTAACGCTACATAGTATAAACTCTGGCAAGTTGAATGTAAATCCTTGAAATCCTTGATAAAGCATGGCAAGAACCTGAGAACCAAATTACTGAAGGCATACTAATTAAACACCTTTAACCAAAGACTTTAGAAACAGAAAGCCTTCCCAGACTGCTTGTAGGGCTGAAAGACAACCGAGGTTTATTCTACGGAGAATTCCGAGGAGATTTCTTAAAGTGTTATCAGAAGGTGTTATAGCACAAATCTATAAAATGAACAATAACAGAATCATTAAGACCAAATGACTTCTTAAGACCATCCATGACTTTTACAGGAATTCAGAGATGATGCATCAAATACTAACTGTTCTGTTTCTGTGATCTGTCATTTACTGTTTCTGAAAGCAAAGGAATGGAAAGTGTCAAAAGTGAAGCTAATTTTTTAAAAAGGGGTCCAAGAGGAATGGAGTAGTACACATCAGCACATCTGACTTTGAATGAGCAAAGAGGCTGAAACAAAACAATAACAACAAAGAGTAGGCACTGAAGAAAAATGACATTATGGCAATGAGTCATTAGCATTTACATAGAAGGAAGTCATGTCTAATACAATAAAATTTTATCAGACTGACAAGAATGTCAGGAAAACACATGTGGATTCCAAAAGAATTCCAGTAAAGTTTCACACCAGAGGAACTTAAAATGAAAATCTTGTTGTGAATTACTTATCAACTAAAACATAGTAAACACAGGGCAAAAATAAATGGCTGGTTTTCACAACAAAGGCAAGCTATTGAGGGAGTCAAAATGGAATCTGTGCCAGTAAATAGATTAAAATTTATTAGAAAATGAACTGAATAGTGAGCATAAAATTTGCTGCTATGAAATTTTTGATGGTAGCCAAATCTAACATTACAGAGAAGAGCTGCAGAAAAATATCACGCTACTGAACTATTAAAATATAAAGTGAAAGAGATTCAGATTCAGGCCAGGGTTTTCTGAACTGCATTAACTCTGTATGCATGGTATTGGGCTATGTACCATGCAAAATTATTCAGAGAAGATCCTGAAGTCAATGTGGAAGTTCTCTGAAACTGTAAGTTCAGTACTCAGAGGTACTGTACAAGAGAAACAGAACGTTAAAGAACAGAAAATAAATTTTTATGACAATGTATATACACAACATGGTACTCATCCTGAATACCATGGCCTAGTCTGGTCATCTTGGTTCCAGTAGGGTATAGAACAACTCTAGACAAGAACTATCGGTTTTATGCAATAATCTCTGCTTGCATGGAAGTTAATAAGACGATTCTTCAGCTTGGAAAGTAGATCAGTACAAAGAGATATGGTATACATATAAATAATCATAAATGAGACAGAGAACAATTATTTATTATAATTAGGAATATTAGGAGAATAACCAGAATTAAAGAGATAACCAGTGAAATTACCAGACAATTTTAAAACAAACAGAGGAAGTTACTCATTCTACATATGCACCAAATTGCATTAATGTTGAACTTACTGCTGCGGATGCCATGGACACATACAAAGATATTCAAGAAACAGCTTGATAAATTCATAGAAGAAAGTTCCATCAAAAGCTATGATTAACATCACCAAGCAGATTTAAGAAAGCCTTAGATCATAAATTGCTGGAAGCCAGAATTGACCACTCTAAGAATTACACACTGGGCTACAGGGACTTTCAGTCTAAATCTATACGGCTGTTCTTATACTCTTACAATACAGCTATGTTCATCACAAAACAATGATCTCATTTCCTTGATAACATGTATATTGGCATCTTCACAACATGATATATTCATTAAGATACTCTAGTAAGAAAAGCATTCTAGTTAATAGTCAACACTAAGATTCTGTGTTTTGGTGGGGTTGTTTTTTTTGTTTTTGCTTTTACCTTTTGTATTAGAGGCAGATATTACTGAAAATAAAATATTAAAACTTACCCGTTTGTCTAACGTTCTTTCCCTTACAAAGCCAAGTAGCTGGTCATTGACTAAAGAAAGATCTCTCTTGCCCGCAGTAATAATGGTAACAATAACATCATGTCGAATGGCTTCCTCTGGGTCATGTGATCGAACTTTCAAATACTCTGTTATGATCAGAAAGAATAACTTAGCTGTCTTTGCATAGATATGATATCTTCTGACTTACTAATAATTTGAAAATAATTGTCAGCCACACATATCAACAACATAATCTATTAAACATGGAACTGCCTGAAAGAAACATCTGTTCTTCTAGCTTTTTCCACATTAAATATTAAAAAATATCTTAGGTAACTTTACATATGTAAGGATTATAAAAGTGAATAGCTTTTACAATCATTTTACAACACAGAATGAAGTGAAATAAAACTGATCGGAACATATTGAAAATATTATACAAGCAAGAAAAAAAAAGACACTCTAATTCCCGAAGAGATAAAAAAGTAAATAATAAATTTAAAATACTGAAAATCACTGAGGGTTAACTTGCATCGAAAAAGAACAGCATTCCCAGCACAGGCTGGCTGAAATTCAGCTCGTAATTAAAATGACACTGAACTAAAGGAAGAAGCTCTATTTTCTGGATGAGCACAGTGGCATTTTCTAAAGTCAGTGGAAGAGAGCACTAGGGAACATATCGACTATTTTTGAAAAATAGCATAAATAGTATAATAGCACAAATATTTGCTTTGATAGGCCAAAAGTTTCATCAGGATCTGACAATGCTTCAAAACTCATTCCACCATGGATAACTTCTTGTAAAGACAGCTTTTAAGACTCACAGTCTTAGAAAGCCCATGCAATGTCACATTCTCCTCCCTCTTTCTAATAACTAGCACTTGCCTTCAGTAGAAGGCAATCAACTCATTACTTAATTCTTCCATCCAGCAGCCAACTTGGACTTAATACATTTTAGAACTATACTGCTATGAACAGAAGTAACTACATTCCTCCTTGCTCGTTTCTTAAATTATTCTAAACCCTCATATTAGCATCTTACCAGTGAGGTCTTTTGCTAAGTCTGGATGGTTCATTAAACAATGACTGGCAAATTTCACACTCTCTAATCTCACAGGGACGTGGATATCATTGAACCTAGAGGGACAGATGATGATGAATGTTAATTTTTAATTAGCCTTGCAAATCAACATTATTCTCTATGTAGTAACATATGTTGATAATAAGTCCCATTAACTATTAAAATACTTTTAGAAGGCAAAATACTACACAACAAACATTTTGAATTTATCTCCAGAATGTACCTCAACCATATAAAATAAGATACTATTTCTTTTGAAACTAAGTAAGACTAATATTAAAGGATGAACATGCTATATTCAGATGAAATGCTGACCCAATGGACTTTTGAACATAACTTGCCACAGACTACGGAAATTATCAATCTTTTTTAAATATATTAAATTATAAATACAAAAATCTTCAAAGAATATGTACCATTTGAAAACATTCACTTATTTTTAACTGTTGAATTCCTGTATTTACTAAAAAGGAAGTATTTACTCAAAAGGTAATTCCACATAAAAGAGATAAGAGTTACAGATACAGTCAAATAGTATGAAATTCTAGACAATGCTGTTATAACTGTTTTGTGATTTTTGCTGTATATCTGATATTGCTATATCTCTAATCTGTATCTGACAGCAAGACAGCAATACAGCAATCCATGAGGCTCTTTTGTTCTAGAATGCAACTTATGCAACTCTATTTTAAAGATTTAACAAGAGAACTTGCTGTCCAAATACAAAAAGTTACATCCTCTCAAAACAAAAAGAAAAATACAGTACTAAAAGGAAAATTCAGCACTAAAAAAGAATGGAAATTCAGAAGTCTGCCCCTAGTTCTCTTACCGCCCAAGAAAGCACTGCCAAAGAGGACGATTTTGTGTGGCCAGATCAGAATCTTTAGAGCCAAAGAGTTTAGCCAGAAGTCGAACAACAGCCAAGCGCTCTTCTCCATCATTGCTCTAAAAATCAAAGTAAAAAAGAAACTGTAAATCATTACCTGGAACATCCGAATAATAATTTGTGGTTTCCTTTTTCTTCTGTTTTTGTAAGTTAGATTAAAATGTGAGTTTTAAATAATTTCTGATAATCCCCAATTTTCCTACTTAGATCATTAGATGAATATGAGGAAAAATATACAAATACCTAATTAAGCTAACATATTACAGCCACTGATCAGATGGCTGCATTTTGAAAAATTCATTCCCTTTCAGGCATAAGCAGCACACACAGAGTTTGATTAATGCGCATCTCTAGCAATTTTGACAGTCACTGATCTAATTATTGTTTTAAAACATATTTTAACTCTATTTTTTGTGTGGAAAAGATTAGACAACAATTAAGACGCTCATATAAATAGATGTGCACTATTAAAACAAAAGATATTTAGAATATAATTTCCTTGGATACTTATTTCTTGATTATCTTTGTTTGCTGCCACCACACCCATTATAATATATATAATACACAGATAACTATTGCTCCTGTTCAGTTACAATCTCATGAAAAATAAATAGTTATTTAATCATAAAACCCAAACAAAAGCCACAAACAAAAGCAAAATCAGGATAAATGAATTATTTCCAAGGATGCTATTCATCCTTTTCAAGAGGAGTCAGTTGACTTACCAGCCAATTAGGACACATCTAAGAAAATATTTAGGAATAGTTCCTCTACTGTTAAAGCAATATTTCACCCAAGGAAATTCTGTAAACCAATCTTGAAGTCTAGCACTCTTACAGTTCCTGAGATAAACCAGCCACAGTCTAACTACTTAATAGATTTCGGTGAAATCCAAAGATTAAGTACATATAGCATTTACATTTGATCATACCTATTTACCACCATAAAGACTACATATTTTGTATGTGTACATAATACATATTTACAAACACAGAAAGTACACAATTGTATACAACTTTTAGGCATCCCTGTCTAAAATTATGTTTATTTTTAAAATAAAGTGATAAGTATAAGATTTCTATCAGGTCAGTAAAAGACTTATTAAATCTACAGATCTGTACTCCTTAATATCCATTTAAATGTTATTGCTTGTCTAAAGCTACATTGCAACCTACCTTAAGTTTGAATTCAAGCTGTGGCATGACAGACAGCAGTAAGTGAGGGTCTATGGCAAAAAGCTCTTGTATCAAGTCAAATACATGTTCTGACAAGTCACTTACTGAAGACTTTCCCAGCACCAGAACCTGGTTAAAAAACTATAATGCAAACATTATTATTTAGCAGATTTGCCTTGAAGCAAATACTATTTTTAAAAAAATCTTACTGTAACATGATTTATACCTTAATTATAACAGAAGGGGGTCAACACACATTTTTCATTTTGATCAAAAAGTTTCACCCCTACAGTTTTGGCTCAAGTTAAAAAAAACCAAATATCCTTTATAATTCAATTCTATTACTTCCATCAGGAGCAAATAATTCTTTGTAAATTGATAGTTTAACACAGCAATGGAACTCATTACTCCATTTCCCCCTCTCCAAGCAAAATCAACAGGTAATAAAAGAACTGTTTATTTAAAATGCATACTCATACATTTTGAGGTGGAGAACAATTTTTAGTGTCTTAATTTTAGTTTTCTTATAATTCAAAAGCAATTAATTTTAGGATCATTACATGCTGAAAAAGAAGCTTCTGTACTTTTACTCAAATCTGAAAAATGGCACGAATTTATAATAGGTCTGTGATATTTGATAGTAACGTATTAAGTATAAGGTGCTTAGTGATCTATCAGAGAAAAACAAAGTAGTCTAAAGTATGAATCGTTTCTCCTGTATCTGCAAAATTTTAATATGCATTATATACTCCCTATTAGATACTGTGGATTAATATTAATAATACTATTTGAGCAGTGCAAATGCTACAAAGCTATTATACACTTGAGTAAGAATGTAAGAAGAACAATATTAATTAACTCAAAGGTCACACTATCCACTATCCTGTTCCCAGCTATGACTAATTACAAAAGCTTCAAGAAATATGGGAATTGGAAAGTGGTACTTGTTAGTGAAACTCCCTGAGCTTTTAAATAGTTACTGATTAATCTTTCATGATTTTGTCTAATTTCCTTTTTAACCTACTTTGACTTTTAAGAATACTATTAGCTTCAGCACTGAAGGAAGACATCAGACTGAAACAGAGTACATTCTCCACAAGACTGAAGTAGCTGTGTATTTTAATAGAGCATATTACTGACATTCAACAGAAGGAATTACAGTATAAGGAAGCCTTGTAAGAAACTGAATTCTTTCAGCCTGAATAAAACAAGTTTAGGCTAGACAAAGAGTAGTAAAGAGCTGAGTGTTTGAAATGTTTCATCCTAAAGGTAGCATAAAACAAAGATGTCTGGTTGCTGGACACATGAAGAACTAACGATTCATTTTGTTGCAATGAGATTTCTTGGTGCTCAGTAATACTGAAAGATAGGTCACACCTATATGCCCAGCCTAGATTTAGATGCTTAACTTTAGACTAAGTTACATAAAAATTCATTTCCTCTTTAGTTATTTGAAATACCTCACATATTGCTTTAACAAGCAAGTCAGGAATATCCTATTTGGAAAACTATATTAAAAATGTAAATTTTATAAACATTATTCTTTCAAATAAACAAACAAGCCTGCAATAAATCAAGAGGGTAACAAGAACACAGTAGTAAACATGAATGACTCAATTT